GACTTACCAAGGTATTAGTGCTATTAGTTTACTTTCCCTAAAAAGTGCTTGTAGTTTTACCTAGGGAGACTGGAAGAACAGAATAAAAGCTAACAATGCCATTTTAGCAATGAAAACAGTGTGATAGATATTTCCGGAAAAAAGTTGTCTGCAAACAGTAACTCTTAAGAAATTATAGTTCTCCATAGGTAACTGTCTACCTCTGGTTTTAATTCATAAGTTGGAGCTTTTCATTTTACCAGTAGATGATGGATTATTTTCTTCTAGATGTATTATTATGCTATGGCATTATGGAAACGTTTCTACTTCTCTCCTGTCCATTGACAAAAAAATATATTTCCTCCTTTTCCCCCCTCAGTTTAGCTTTTTAATACCATGTTTATTTCATATCTCTTATTATTTTTTTTAAACAGGGCAACCCCATTAAATTAAAAAAAAACTTAACAGGAAGCTATTATTCACTAAGAGATTTGCTTGGACAGAGAACAGGGCGAACAGGCAGCAAACTTCAGGTGAATCAGGCAGATAAAGCTTTTTAGAAAGGATCTTTTTGAGAGATTGGTTACAAAAGGGCAGGACTAGCTGGAGGTAGAAACCAGCAGCCTTACTTCCCTAACATATGATATTTGGATAAGTCACTTTGTTATTGATTGATTGATTTTATTTTTTATTTTTACTTTTATTTTTTTTAAAGATTTTACTTATTTATTTGACAGAGAGATAGAGAACACAAGTAGTCAGAGTGGCAGGCAGAGGGAGAGGGAGAAGCAGGCTCTCCGCTGAGCAGGGAGCTGGACGTGGGGCTCCATCCCAGGACCCCAGGATCATGACCTGAGCTGAAGGCAGCCGCTTAAAATGGATTGAGCCACCCAGGCACCCCTGTTTAATTTTATTTTTAAGTAGTCTCTACACCCCACGTGGAGCTCAAACTCACAACCCTGAGATCAAGAGTCACATGTTCTTCCAACTGAGCCTGTCAGGCGCCCCTGGATTGGTCCCTTTGGAAATGTGTCCGGGAAGTTCAATCTTCTTGGTAAGTCCATTCCATCTTAACTTCTTTGGATTTTACCTCAGTAACAGTATTTTCGTAAAAGACTTTGGATTTTGTCTTGTCATTTTTGTCATTTATAGGATTAATATATTTAATAACGCAATGAAATTCTTTTAATTATTAAGGCGTAGTTTTTATTTTACATTTACTTTCATTTTTCATAATGTTTTCTTGTCTTCTCCTATTTGCTTCTTTTCCTGAGTTGTCTGACTTCCTTGTGTGTGTGTGTGTGTGTGTGTTTATGTGTTTTGCCACGCTTCCTCTTTTCTCTTCTGCTTTTCCAGAACATCTTGCCTGTACAAAATAATAAGGACTGTGTACTTTTGAGAATAGTCTTTATAGATTTAACTGATATAAAAGGGAAATTCCAATGCATCACATCTCTTATCCCCTCAGCTTCCTTTTTTAAATTTAGATTTTACTGAAGCCAGGTTCCAAAGAGGTAATACTAAGTACTGATGATTTTTTCCTAGGAGACTTCTCAGCTAAGGTCACACCACTTTTGTCCCCTCAATAAGCTACCTGGAAGGAAGAGACCATTTTACATATTTCTCAGACATTCCCTGCATAACCATCACAGTGTTTCTCAAAGGGTTAGGTTCACTTGGGTGCTGGTAAGAATGCATACTCATAGGCTCTACCCCAGATCTAGAGTCAGAATCTCAGGAGCCTGCAGTTTTATTTTTCATGCACTGAACTTTCTTAACCTGAGTTTTTGGTCACTGCCTGGATTTGCTTACTTGAATATATATGTATATACTCTGAGATATATATATGTATATATACATATATTTAAAGATTTTATTTATTTATTTGACAGAGAGAGAGAGGGGGAGAGAGAGCACGAGGTGGGGGGGAGGGGAGAGGGAAAAGCAGGCTCCCCATTGAGTAGGGAGCCTGATGCAGTTCTTGATCCCTGGGACCCTGGGATCATGACCTGAGCTGAAGGCAGATGCTCAACCGACTGAGTCACCCAGGTGCTCCCTTGAATATATTTTCATCCCTTTACTCATACTCAGTACATCCCAAACTAAACCATCCACTGGCCATCTCCAATTCTGTCATCATGCTATCATCCCTGGACTCATCTTTGGAGTCATTCTTCTTTGTATTCCATAATTTTTTTTTTTAAGATTTTTTATTTGACAGAGAGACAGCGAGAGAGGGAACACAAGCAGGGGAGGGGAGCGGAAGAGGGAGAAGCAGGCTTCCCGCTGAGCAGAGAGCCCGATGCCGGGGCTCAATCCCAGGACCCCGAGATCATGACCCGAGCCGAAGGCAGATGCTTAACAACTGAGCCACCCAGGTTCCCCTGTATTCTATCATTTTAAAAATAGTTTCATTTAAGTAATCTCTATACCCAACATGGGGCTCGAACTCACAACCTGAAATCAAGAGTCACACGCTCTTCCGACTAAGCCAGCCAGGCGCTCCTGTATTCCATCATTTTTTACTTAATCGACTTACTGGCCTTTGTGCCAAGTACTGGGAAAGACAGTAATGAACAAGACAGATCATGGGTCATGCCCTCAGGGTTGGTAAAGATTCTTTTATGGAGAGTAACTTAATCCTATAGATTCTTTTGTGTTTTTCTCAGAATACTCCCTTACTTTGCAGCACCCTAATCTAGAATCTCATCACATATGTTTGGACTGCCATCATTTTTTCCTAATTAGTTTCTTTGCTCCTAATCTCCCACCTCTTCTCAAAGATTAATCTGCTGAAACCTTAATCTTCAAAACAACACGTTGAATATATTTTACCCCCTCGCAATGCTTTCATTGTTTCCAATTGCCTATAGGTTATTTTCCAAAGTGGATTCAAGGCTTTTACAATCTGGTCCCCAGATGAATTTTTACTGAATAAACTTTCCCCCCTATGAAATAGATATCCGAAATTGATGTAAGCATTTTTACTTATTTATTTTCTGGGCTCATGACTTTAATTACACTTTCTGCTTGACCAAGCTACACTTTTCTCTTAAGGCCCATTCCCCGACCCCAAACACGGCTGGCCCTTGGCACTTGCTCTTGTTTCTGCTCTTAGGGCATTTTTCTGCTTTACTCATTAAGCATTTAGCATGTGCTTTTTGGTAATGTTACTTATCTTTGTATGTATTTTTCCAGTTCTTCAATTATTCCTTAAGCTTCTTGAATGCAGGAACAGTGTTTTATAAACTTCATCTCTCCCTTGCCTAGTCCAGGCCTATAGGTACTATTTGATAAATATTCATCAGATTCTTCACACTTATTTTTTAATGCATTCCTTCATCAAGAAATTATTAAATGCCCAGTAAGAACCAATATGGTCCTGTCTTTGATAGAGCTTACAATTTAGTTGGAAAAACGGACTTTAAGCAAATAATTAAACTGAGACCAACTGCTTTATTCATTTGTTAGTCAGGAAATATTTAATAAGCACCTATCATAGGTATGTTACATGTTGGGAATACAAAGCTGAAGCAAATAGGTAGGAGAGGAGAATCATATATAAACCATTAAAATAAGGATGTTATAAGTGCAAACAAAATATCCTAGGAGCACAAAGTAGGGAGGGTGTAAATATCTCTGCTGAGGGGTCAGTAAGTCTTCACATTTCAGTTGGGTCTTGAAAGTGAAGTTAAATAAAGGTTTGGGTAATGCAATGTTCACACAAGGAGGGTGGTTCTTGGAGATCTGATAAGCTCATTCCTCTATCATCTGAGCAGAAACATGAGCAGGTAATAGGAAGGTAAGCAGCAAAGGCAGAGTTGAGGATGACAGCCTTTTGATAGAACACTGCTCAGATGAATGGCTAGGTCTTTTTGCTGGGCCTTCATCTAGGCCCTTCCCTGGTTCTGTCCCTTCAGCATGGATAAAGGTTCCTAGGGAAAGGTCTTCAGTACAAGGACAGAATTAAATCTGGGATCTTTCCCTCTAAGAACCACAGGATGACAGAGTTGGAAAGGATATCGAAAATCACCCAGTTGTTTCTAATTTACATCCCCCAGAATCTTGGGGATTCTCAAAATGGCAAATGAAAATCTGTATTCAATTTTCGACATTCCAAAAAACTACCAGAAATTGCCCATCTTTTTGTGGTCTTAACTGCCAGGTTTCCTTGTTTTGTGCTAGAATTATATCAGATCCACATTACATCAAGATTCCGACTGAGCTGTGTTCAGATTAAATATAATTTGTTTTCCCATTATTGTTATGCTTAATTCGGTAAATAATTTTTCAAGATACAAGAGAGCATGGTCGAACCAATAGAAGTGATAACATTTGCTACAATGTTTGCAATCTACAAAGCACCGTTCACTGACTTCACCTTAATTATGCCTCACAATACTATTGAATGGTAAATCAGAGCCCAGACTCCTTGACTCTCAGTCCAGTGCTCTTTTCAACTGCTCAAAGCTCCTGGGTTTTTTTCTCGCGTCCCGGTCTACAGAGCCTTTAAACCGCGACTCGGAAGCACCTGCCCTGCCCTCACCACTGGGTCACACCACCTGCCTCTTGGGCGACAGCGACAGCGACCGCTCCCTCTCCACGTTCAAGAATGCGGCTCGCCCCTACGCAGGCGTGGTGCAGCGACTCCGCGCCGGCGCCGCTCGGAGCCTGAAGCCGAGACCCCGGGCAACCGCGAGGGTTGGAGCCCAGAGCGCGTGCGCAGTCCCTTTGCTAGTACTCCGCTCTTCTCCCAGTTCCCAAACCATTGTGCCACCCTATCATTCATTCCACTCTCGGTAGCGCTTTCACCCTTTAGGATTGCCTGCCACCGCCCCCCGCCCCCCGCGGTACGTCACGAGCGGCAACAGCGGTTGACGAGCGCTGCAGGCGTTGCTAGGCCGCCACCGGGGGCGCGCTGCGCGCGTCCGAGCGGCTCGCGAAGTTGTCTCCGCCGCCGCTCCCGCCCCTTCCGCCGCTCGCGTGCGCGCACGGCCGGCCCTCGGCGCGCCCCGGTTGGCTGCGGCGGGGCCCGCGGCGGTGGCAGCCTCGGCAGCGTTAGTGGTTTCTACGCTTTCTTAGGTTCCTCCGCCCCCTCTTGTCGGACGCTGCTGTTTGCTTGCCTTAAAAAAAATCAACTTTATTGTTCCTCAGCCCCACCTCCCGGCGCGGCGCGCGGCCTCAGGATGCACTGAGGCTGAGGGGAGGGAGGCGGCGGCGGGTCGCGGTCGCGGTCCCTCTCCGAGCGCCCAGCCGGAGCGGGGGAGTCACGATGTCCGGGAGCCGCCAGGCCGGGTCGGGCTCCGCCGGGACCAGCCCTGGCTCTTCTGCGGCCTCCTCGGTGACTTCCGCCTCCTCGTCCTTGTCCTCTTCCCCGTCGCCCCCTTCCGCGGCGGCGGCGGTGGCGGCGGCGGCGTCCGGCGGCGCGGCCCAGGCCGCGGGGTCGGGCGGCCTCGGGGGCCCGGCGCGGCCTGTGCTGGTGGCCGCCGCCGTGTCCGGCAGCGGCGGCGGGGCGGTGTCCGCGGGCCTGTCTCGGCTCAGCTGCTCGGCCAGGCCCAGCGCCGGCGTGGGAGGGAGCAGCTCCAGCCTCGGCAGCGGCAGCAGGAAGAGACCTCTGCTCGCCCCCTTGTGCAACGGGCTCATCAACTCCTACGAGGACAAAAGCAACGACTTCGTGTGGTGAGTTTGAAGAGCATCGCCCTCCCCTTCGCTGAATGAGGAGTTTGCCCTGTTTGGGCTGGTGGGGTCCGCTGGGATGGTGGTCTGGTTGGTGCTGTGGTGGTGTCTGCAGACCTTCAGGCTGGTGGTTGATGGGGTGAGATGGGGGAATGTTGGGAGTCCCGAGGCAAGGGTGGTGGGGGTGCTAAAGAGGTCAGTGCTGGTGGAGAGGAAGTGAGGGGAGTTGAGGAAATAATTAAAAGGGGGCCGGAAGGAAGGTCAGATAAATGGTTGTGCATAAAAGGTGAAAGTTGGCCCTTAAATTTTCTGTCTGGTGAATTAGATACCCTGTCGGTCCGGATTGCTTCTTGAAGTGAACTAAACTTGTAAAAGGAGAGGATTAAGGTTCCTGGGATGCTGAGGGATGGAGTTGGTCATAATTTGCTTATTGAAAGTATGGTAGATGGTGCTCTAGACGTGAGTATGGATATTTTAAGGAGAAGTAGTATTTCATGTCTGTATTCCCTCGTGCGTGTGTGTGTATAAATATCCTCCCACTTCAAAGGGTAGGCCACTTTTAAATCTGCTGTTGAGGCTACTGTAGTCATAAAGTCTGTTCACAAAAAATTCCACTTGTCACTGAATGCCTTGAAAGAGGGAACCACATTTATTAAACATTATCCATGTGTCAGATGTAACTGACATTTGTATAACAGGCTATAGTGTACTGCAACTTCTGATTTGAGAAACGCCAGGTATTAGACATTTTGTCATCATAGTTGGCACCTTGAATGATACACAGCAGTATTCAGTTATGATATTTGCCATAGATGGGTTATCCATATTAAGTGAAAGATGGAGTTGATTGTTTTACTGAAAGTGTTTTGAGATTTTTATTGTTTTTGGAATCCAGAACCCAATGCAAATGGTAGGATTATCAGAAAGGAATTGCTTTTAGCTAAATGAGAACGGGTAGGATTTTACGCTTTTCCTTTGGAGGAAATTGTTGATAGACTTAGAATATTAGTAGGAAGCTGGCCTGCACTGTCATTATAGGGGAAGTGGATTTACTTCAGGGTTGAAGATGATGTGAGTTGGCATCATTAAATAAGATAGGGCTAGAAGCTGGAACTATAGGAAGGATATTGATTAGGCTTAAGAGTTTCTAGTTCTTGCAGTAAAAATATCTTCATATTTTTGCTTTGGTCTTAAATTATTCTGGACTCAGAATTAATTCATTTTCCATTGAAACCTGGCTATAATTGTGATTGTTTTTTATAAATAATTTAACCAGAGTATGGGTGGATCTAAGAGGTGTTTGTGCTCATACCCAGTAGAGTGCCATATGATGAAGTGGAAGCTGGTAAAACAAAATGAGGATTTTCAGAATTTGTCTTTTTAGCCACCATTTGCATTTTAATTTTTAATAGGCTAAAAGAAAACAAATATGCCAGCATTCATATAGGTGCACTGAAATAGTGTAGAAGATGTGAGAAATAAGGGAATCAATCATTTATTCAACAGATATTTATTTGGCACATACTGTCTGCCAGGCACTGTATGAGTTGCATTACTATTGGCCATTTTGTAGGGAATTGGAGAGCCATAGAGTAGTATAAGCAGCTGGCACTGATTTTTTTTTTTTTTGCAAGGAGGGTGTGGTGGTGATGGTATGATTATTAAAATTTTTGTCACCTAATTTTTAACAATTTCAGTCTAGGGTGCCTGGGTGGCTCAGTCGTTAAGCGGCTGCCTTCGGCTCAGGTCATGATCCCGGGGTCCTGGGATCGAGTCCCACGTCGGGCTCCCTGCTCAGCGGGAAGCCTGCTTCTCCCTCTCCCACTCCCCCTGCTTGTGTTCCCTCTCTCGCTGTGTCTCTCTGTCAAATAAATAAATAAAATCTTAAAAAAAAAAAAAAAAAAAAAAAACAATTTCAGTCTACTCTCCCAATTCCTCACTGGGAAGTGCCCAGTGAAAGTCTTCAGTTAAAAATTGTGAATATTTCATTTTCTAAAGAATTCATTAATGGGAATCTATTTTCCCGATTCTCAAACTAGATTTGATTTGGCCAAGCTTTTGGGGTAGAAGATAGGGATTAGTCAAGGCCCAAGAAATCTTTTTCATTTCTAATTGGCCCTGGGTCGCTGGTCTTGTCTTGTGTGCTTCAAGGTCAGACTGTGAACCAACCCAAATTACTCTATGCTTTTACATCTAAGTGAAGCTAAAGTTTGAATAATGGTGATAATTCCTTATTCATCACATTTTAAAGATCTGTTTATATTTCACATTTCATTTTATCCCTAAGAACAGTTCTGGGAAGTTATAGATAACTTCTAATTTTGATGTAATACTAATGTAATTGTATCCCCATTGAGACACAAAGAAGTAACTTTGTTTCAGATTGGATAGCTAAGGGGCAAAATGAGAACTCAGATCCCCCAGTTCTCAACTTAGTGCTTTATTTGTGTGGAATTAGAAAATTTGTAAGTACATGCATTTAGCCTAGTGGGCCTTTTTTTTTTTTAAGACCTTTTAAAAAGATTTTATTTATTCATTTGCCAGAGAGAGAGAGAGAGTGCGCACGCACAAGCAGGGAGAGGGAGAGGGAGACGCAGGCTCCTTGCTGAGCAGAGAGCCCTCCATGGGAACCTTGGTATCATGACCTGAGCTGAAGGCAGATGCTTAACCGACTGAGCCACCCAGGTGCCCCCAAAATATTTTATTTTTAAGTAATCTCTACGGTGGACGGGAGGCTCGAACTCATAACCCCAAGATCGTGAGTCGAGTGCTCCAGCTGAACCAGCCAGGCACTCCTAGCCTAGTGGCTTGTAAATGTGGTAGGTTGGAGGGAAACAGCTGTTGCATAATCACAGGAGAGAAATGTTTTTATCCCTGACCACTCCTTCCTCCTGCTTGTTTGCCTGCCCACATCAAGAGGTGGGACCAGAATTGGAGGCTGGAATAGTAGGGTAGTTTGGAAAAGCTATCCAGGTGATAGTGACATGGCCTTTTACCGTTTTTTGAGAACAGTTGATAAAGTCAAATGCCTGATTTTCATTAACACACATTGGCCTCTCGACTTATATCATATTTGAAAGTAAGTTTATATTTAATTGCAGAATTGATGAACATTTCGGGGATTTATGGTTTTCACTTAACTATTGGTTTCATACAAAGTATTATCAAGTTGCAGATAATTCCAACAGTGTTTTATAGTTGGAGAATCTCTAGTGGAGAGAGTAGTATTTAGTTTGAAGTTGGATAAATCTTTGAAATTCAAAGGAAGTTTTTGTTACTTGATTTTTCTAATTTTTCTTACGTGATCCATTTAACTAAACTATGAGTCTAAGATAACATCTTTCTTTTGTCTTTTTTTTTAAAGATTTTATTTATTTATTTGAGAGAGAGAGAATGAGAGATAGAGAGCACGAGAGGGAAGAGGGTCAGAGGGAGAAGCAGACTCCCTGCTGAGCAGGGAGCCCGACGTGGGACTCGATCCCGGGACTCCAGGATCATGACCCGAGCCGAAGGCAGCCGTTTAACCAACTGAGCCACCCAGGCACCCAATAACATCTTTCTTCTAGCACATTACTACTGCCTCTGCATTAGCTTTTCCAACTACTTGAAATTACGTTTTCTATCCCTGCAAGTCTCAGTTATTCTGAGGTGGAAATAAGTATTTTCAAGTAGATAGTAAGCCCTTGTTAATTCTGATCACCTGCCTGATACAAAATAGGTAGGATCTACATTAAATAGATCTGCCATTTAATAAATATGTGACTGCCTCTCTTGTGTCGTACTATTAATAATAGACTGTCCTGAAGAAGCTCACGATTTAATGTGAAGAGAGACTTTTAGTCATATAATTATAGTATCATATCCTGGCATCGTTGCTTCTCTTAGTACCATGGCAGGTGTTACTCTTCTAAATTCACATGTCTCACAGTCCTCAAGCAGCCATTACCTATTAATCACATTTAGCACTAAAGATGAAACCTGTTGATCACTGTTGCTACTGTTGCTACTGTGTTTTTCAAATTATCAAAAATTGAAATAAAATAGGACATACCACATAACTTGTCATGATAAAGATAACTTTGTTTGAACTTTTGGTTATTACATACTTACAGTGTTTATCTTATGGGGTATCGGTGAAAAAAAATTTGAAAGTCATTGAATTATGGTATATAATTTTCCTTGTGACAGAAAAGTAAGTGGAAGATTTAGGTGACCTTTTGAAACCACAGTGAGCTTATAAATAGGACTAACTGTAATTTAGAGAGCTTTTAAAGCATATTCAACTATTGAAATAAACTTTAAAATTCATTATGTTATTGTTGTAACATCAGGCAAGAACTTCCTTCAATCTGCGAAACTGGAACTGGATGAATCTTTTGCTTTATAATGCACACACCATTTGGATGACAATGATGGCAAAAGATACTCTGCAGGAAATGATATCAAATCATAGCAGTTCATTATGGTCTTTCTGGCTATCAGATGATGGATTGTCAGCATCGTTGTCAGCCGACTTAGGTGAATCAAATGGTAGAGCGAATGAAAGAGAAGATTATGAAGCAGGATGTGAAAGACTATCAACTTGAATTCTGGTCTGTAAATTGAGAGGGAGATAGTGATGCCATAGTGGTTCATTAGTAAAGAATGTGTTGATTAGTAGCACCCTTTCCTTTTACAAACCTTTCCTGATAATAAGCCAACATTACTTATTTGATCATATTCTAAAAATTGCTACTTTTTTATTTAAAAACTTTAAAAAAATATTTAATCTCTACACCCATTGTGGGGCTCGAAACCTCAACCCCAAGATCAAGAGTCATATGCTCTGACTGAGCCAGCCAGCCAGATGCCCCTAAAAATATTGTTACTGATTAAAGTAACTAAAGTCTTAAACCTTGTTGCTGATTTTTTCTCCTTGCAAATGTATATTGTTACTGGTGTTTTCTGTCTGTTTTAAATAATTATTTTAGCCTGCAACCCTTTTCCTCAAAGCTTCTGTAGCT